GTGAGAGGGTGAAGGAGGAGCGACCGTCGGCTGAAGCCAGAGCGTCTCTCAGGGTCAAAACTAGAATAATGTCCCTCTCCTCTGTCCACGAAGCAATAACATCTGATTTATACCAGACCGAGAGGACAGTCTATAGGCTTATATCATTTAAAAAGCCCATGTTACGCGATTTTCTGTTGTTGTTTCCTCATCACAAATATACTGGAGTTGTGTTTTGGTCCATTCACACGTTTAGCACACAAACCTGCATATTTAGGCTGAGACCAAGGCCTCAGAGCAATTAGATTTTCTCTAAATATGACATTAAATGAGAGTAGTTTACTTTTAAACAAGAAAACACCATCAAAATAGTATCTGACTGTCAAATCTGTTTTAACTGTCCAAAGCATTCCCCTCATTCACGTTAGAATGGACTAGTCCACTTGACCCTGATTTGAACATAATCATAGACATTTTTTTTTTTTAATCTAATAAAACTACTGTCAGCTCTGGGGTTCTAGTACACTGCCTAACATAAGACAAGATTCCAATCCACCCCAGTTCTAACAGAGATGTGCATTTCTTAAGAGCAATGGGGAAAAACAGACAATAGATATAAAAACAAAAAACAAAAACAATGCATTATACTCAAGTTCGCCTAGAGCCCCAAAATGGCTAACTCTGCCACTGACCACATGACATCACAAGGTGGAACAGATCATTTTGAGCTTTAGAGATGTAGACAGACTAATAATAAATGATTATTTAAACGTGTGAATGAAACAAAACACAACTCCAGGTCTGTTTTTGAGGAGGTAACAACATTATAACACGACTTAAAGCTCATAAAGTATTTTTTGTACTACAGGACCTTTAAGATGTAAGAATTGCATCCGATTGACTTAATGAATTATGTTGTAAATTGTAAAATCATGATTTTAATGTTTGTAATATAATTTGCGACATAACAGTTGTTTTATTTGTGTTTTGCAGCACTTACAGAACCCGGCGAACTTCCAGACGGCAGCCACAGAGCTGTTGGACTGGTGCGGAGACCCCAGAGCGTTTCAGCGGCCGTTTGAGCAAAGCCTCATGGGATGTCTCACGGTGAGTCTCCTCTGTACAACACACTGCTCTATACGTAGTAGTGTAGTAGTAGTAGTAGTAGTAGTAGTAGTAGTAGTAGTAGAATATTCTGTGATGAAAATCTTGATCTAGATCAAGCTGCACTATGTAACTTTTCTGGTGGAAACTGTCTTCATTGTTATTGCTTAACCCAGAGAGCTTTTGAGTTTGAGCAAAGCCTCATGGGATGTCTCACAGTGAGTCTCCTCTTTAAACCACACTGTTTTATATATACCAGAGTCCAGCACTGGCTCAGGTACTTGCTGGTACCTGATGGGTATGGGCTAACAGTTGCTGAAACAGGCGGGTAGTAATTACATACGGGTGGGTCAGGACTAAACCAGGACTACACCAGGACTAAAAAAAGGATTAACCAGTTCTAAATCAGGACTAAACCAGGACTAATCTTGGACTTAAGATAGAGAACCCCAAGCCCGCAGAACAGGGTGTGCTCAAAGCGCAATCAGGCGACGGCTGCCCTTACCTCCGGGGTGTGGAGCTCTACGCCGGTCCTTTCGCCCGCAGTCACCTGACGGTCTACGTGGGCACACCTCCGAGCCCGTCCCAACAGTGACTTCTGGTTCAGTTCTGGTTTAGTCCTGGTTTAGTCCTGGCTTAGTCCTGATTTTAGTCCGGCATCTCGATCAATGTTTCTTCTGCTCAGTATATAAAGCCTGTGAAGTGATGACAGTCGAGTCATGTCTGAGAATTCGTGTTCGTACTGAAGAAAGCGAAACCATTTCATTTCATTTTGTGATTGTAATTCTTGAAGTCGTAACTTTCCACTTTTCATATTCTGATGGATGCTTCAGTTAGAATGTTTTTAATTTGTGTGTGATTTATCACGGGCACGGGCGGGTAACAGGTGGAATGCTAACGGGTCTGGGCGAGTGCTGGTTTAACTTTGATAAAATTAGAAGTTAACGGGTGGGTGCAGTGCTGTACTGTGCGGGTCCAGGCGGGTGCGGGTCTCCAAAAATGGACCCGTGCAGGACTCTGACATATACTAGTACATAGTATATAGTACTAGTGCATTTTGAGCTATGAAAATGACAAACTGATGATAAAGTTAATAATAAAGTAAAAAATAATAAAGTTACTCAAACAAAACATAACTCCAGGTCTGTTTTTGACGAGGTAACAACATTATAACAAGATTTAAAGCTCACAAGAGTAAAATTTTTTGTACTATAGGTAGTTTAAAGGCGCATTGTGTAATTTTTCTGCTGGAGGGTCCGTCAAAAGCTTTTCTTCATGGAGAGTTATTGCTTTATCTTGAATGTTTCACAGTATGGCATTTAAACCTTTCTATCGTCATGGAGACTAAACCAGGCCAAGTGACAGGTCAGATCTGTGGAGAGGCGGCCCCGCTCACAGTCAGAATGTTGTTTTTCTAGGTATTTTTGAGCTATAAAACCACCTGTAACTGAATAAATGTAAAGTAAAGTTGTTTAATGTCACACTGTGGAACATTCGAGGCGGAGCGATGACATGTTGACTATTTTTTTCTGTCTTAACCAGTAACCATTTACCATTCACAGTTGGCTCTCGTCTGTATTTACGGCCTCTATTTTCACCGTAGACTTCTCCTCCACAGATCTGCTAAAAGTGCTGCCATAATTACAGATTTACTACGAAAACACTGCACTTTGAACCTGATTGAGTTTGTCCAAACACAGCGCAGGTGATGGATGGTACAGCTCAAGTTTTCATTTCCTTTAATTGTTGTTATTTTTATATTTTTTTAGACTCCTCAAACCTAGGCCTAGTTGTAGCTTGTTGCACTAGAATTAGCATTTAGTCAAAGTAGCCAGGGTTTAATTAGACAGCCCATAGTCGTAGATCTTCCAGTGAAATGTTGGATTACTATAAATAAGGTTTGAGATTTGAGCAGCAGTGTTTTGGTTTGGCGTTAGGGTTATAGTTAAAGGGTAATAACACGGTACAGATGGAGAAGTCCTCAGGCAATGTCCTAAACCAGAACATATGACGGAAAGAGACAGGCTGCGCTGTAAAAATGGAGAATAACGTTTAAAAAGGGAGATATATATTGCTTTATTTTGCATATTTAGTACTGAAATAAAGGTCTGTTTTATCTAAAATGGACTTTTATGTGTTTCAATAGCTTACATGATTCGTATTTTGATTAATCCACGTGTGTTTTTAAAGTCTAAATGACGTCTGTGATACTAAAAGTCTTTGTTAAACCATGTATTGTGCAAAGTGAATATGAAACACAAACATTTTAATCGTCAAAACAGTGAAAATGTCAAATAAACGAGTTTCTTTCCTCTCAATCAAGCAACAAAACTGTGGCGCTGTCACAAAATAATTGAGTAAAATAAACCAAAAAATACTCTTGGCGATTTATCGATACAGCAGCCCACGATATCGATACTGTATCATCACATTAAACGATACGATATATTGATATTTAGACATTTTTTGCACACTCCTAACACACATTTGAAGCTTGAGTTCGCAGACAATTTCACTTTTCACCTACCCCCTATCTCCGCCCACTGCTCTTTCTGAACTTACTTGTGAATATCTTTTTAAATTTCAGACATGTAGGATTCAAAAATGCCACATAGACATTTTTCTACAATAAAAACACAAGAATGTAAATGTGTAATTTCTAGAGGTGTAACAGAACAAGTATTTGCGCTGAACTGTTACGATACGGGACGTTCAGTTCGGTGCAGGACAGTGCACGAGTGAGTTTGTGTAATTTGTGTGAGTTTACATTCCGCCTCTACATGTGCAGCTACACGGAGACTCGGCTCTTTAATATTCAGAAGGGAAGAGTTAGAGCGGCCACCTTGACGACACTTGCCCCCCGCCTTGACTATGTCCCTCCGAACCACGCGAATTCTCGCAAAACTACGGTTGCCGCACTGTGGTCCTCACTTTTCACCTTTTGCTGGCAAAGAAACTTCATGCTGGAACTGTTTGTGCTGCACTTTACTGTTTGAAAAGTTTTGTTTACTGTTTAAAAGGAATTTATTTTTTATAATATTTCATACATTTGTTGCTTAGTTGCAAATATTTTATTTAACTCATTAGTATTACCGAGCAGCACTTTGCATTTATTTTATTTTCCTGTGTGTATGATGTTAAAACAGTTGGTTTAATAAAAACACAAATAAACAACAAGCAAATAGTTTCGCATTTTGTTCCCAAACTGTACCGAAAATTAACTCAACCGTGACCTCAAAACCAAGGCACGTACCAAACCGTGATTTTTGTGAACTGTTACACCTCTAGTGTTTTTGTCCGTCCTGCTGTTCAGTTTTGAGTGAGAAACCAATGGACTTGTGTTTATCGTTAAACTGTTTTATATGGAACAAAATATGTTTTCTTTAATCATCCATATGTTGAGTGAGTATTCAGAATGTAAAGCTGCATAACATCAGAGCTATAAAAGTACTATAACCTTTTTCGTTTAGTAAGTATAAAGTTGCATGAAAAATAGCACAATAGCAGTAGTTACTAGTCACGTTTTTAAATGACTGACCCTGACTTACATTGTAATATTGTCGCCTCTCTCTCTGTAAATGCTGCTGTGAGCCTCGTCATTTTGGTCTTAAAATTTTGTATTAACCTGCTCTACATGATCATGGTGTTTTTATTTTGCTATTTTGTTCCTGTTCCTAAAATTCGCCCCTATAACTGCTGTTTTTAGGTCAGTCTTTTGATTGATTAAACAGTATAAAGCTGAGTTAAGTTGAAATTGCATCTCTGTATTGACCCATGATTCTATTTTATTTTATTTTTTATTTTTTTCCAGGTGGTGAGTCGTGTGGCCGCTCAGCAGGGGTACGATCTGGACCTGGGCTACAGACTCTTGGCCGTTTGTGCCGCCAACAGAGACAAGTTCACCCCCAAATCTGCAGGTAGGACGGAGTTTATGCTTCTACTTCTACTACTTGGAGTTTTAATCTCACTTCTGATAAATAAAAAAAAAAAAAAACATTGCTGGTTGAGCACTTGGATACCTTCCACAGATTAATACCGTTGTTGTGTCCTTGGGCAAGACACTTAACCCCCTCGCCCCGGTTTCTGTGGACATGAGTGTGTGAAAGTCTCAGTGGTTTCTTGATTAAAGCCGTTTGTGTAATTTGAAGGTAGATAAATGAGACCGTGTAAACTGTCTGCTAAGTTTTAAGATTTTGCCCATTTATGTTCTAGTCCTGGTTTAGTCTGGTCCTGGTTTAGTCTGGTTCTGGTTTAGTCTCGACCTGGTTGAGGTCTGTGTTTAGTCCCGATTTGAATCCGAGGTGTGAACGCAGCCCATAATATTCTGTCTTGATTTAGTTTTGGCATAGTTCTGGTCTAGTCCTGGTCTAGTCCTGCTTTACTCCTATCTTGGTTTATTTCTAGTCTAGTCCTGATTTAATCTTGAGCCAACCCTGGTCTTGTCCTTGTTTAGTCCTAGTCTAGTCCCAGTCTAAACTTGGTCTCATCTTGGTCTAGTCCTGATCTAGTCCTGGTCTAGTCCTGATCTAGTCCTTGTCTAGTCTAGTCCTAGTTTATTCCCAGTCTACTCACAGTCTTGACCTGGTCTAGTCTTGGTCTAGTCTTGGTCTCGTCTTTTTCTCGTCCTGGTCTAGTCCTGATCTAGTCCTGGTTTAATCCTGGTCTAGTCCTGATCTAGTCCTGGTCTAGTCCTGATCTAGTCCTGGTCTAGACCTGGTCTAGTCCTGGTCTAATCTTGAGCCAGCCCTGGTTTAGTCCATGTCTAGTCCTTGTCTTGTTTTAGTCTAGTCCTAGTCTAGTCCTAGTTTAGTCCCAGTCTACTCACAGTCTTGACCTGGTCTAGTCCTGGTCTAGTCTTGGTCTAGTCTTGGTCTAGTCTTGGTCTAGTCTTGGTCTAGTCTTGGTCTTCTCCTGATCTAGTCTTGGTCTAGTCTTGGTAAGTCCTGGTCTAGTCCTTGTCTAGTCCTAGTTTAGTCCTGGTCTACTTTCAGTCTAGAGCTGGTTTAATCTTGGCCAAGTCTTGGCCTAGTCTTGGCCTAGTCCTGACCTAGTCCTGGCCTTTACTCCTATCTTGATTTATTCCTAGTCTAGTCCTAGTTTTAATCTTGGTCCACCCTTGGTTTAATCCTTGTTTAGTCCTAGTCTAGTCCTGGACTATACCTGTTTTAGTCTTGATCTAGTTTTGGTCTAGTCTTGGTCTAGTCCTGATTTTATCCTGTTTGTTCCTGTTTTTTTCTCCTATAGTTTAGTCCCGTCCTTGTCCTCGTTTGGTCTCGTTTTAGTCCTGCTCTAGTCCTGGTTTAGTCCTGGTTTAGTCCTAGTTTTTCTGTGAGGTCTTAAAGTGTGAACAGATCCCATAAGTCCCCGTCCGTCCTCCTGAACCCTCCCTGTCATTTTTTACTCCACATTTCAGCAGACGGGGCAGTTTGAGCTTTTTTATTTCTCTTCTATCATCTGAACTCTACAAAAACACGAAGCAGGAAAATTACGGCTCTGCACATTGAGCTTATTTCAGCACTCGGAAATCAATACGCACGCAGACTACGCAGCGACTAAACAAGATGTAGGTTTGATCGGCCGGAAAACGCCTCAGAGTACAAGATCTTAAAACAAATCTGAGACGAAAAAGCAAAGAGGTGCAAAATGTGGAACGTGGATTTTGATTCGAACGACAAGAACAAATTGTGTTTTGAGTTTAACACTGGAAAAAGTAATTATTTTGTCGTATATAAATGTCAAGTTTGTGATACTTGGGTTTAAAATTGTGTGGTAGATTTCACGTGAACTGATTTCTACACCAAATTTTCCTTATTTGCTTATTGGTCAAACTATAATATAACTTGCATCTGTATAATTTGTTTATTACCGTATTTTTTGGACTATAAGGCGCACTTAAAATCCTTTCATTTTCTCCAAAATCGACAGTGCGCCTTATGTATTAATTCTGGTTGTGTTTACTGACCTCGAACTGATTTTATGTGGTACACGGCGCTCAAAAGTCTGTTAAAATGTTTTAGTACGACTTTGGTAAACTATGAACCGGCACCACTTGATGGATTGTCCTTTAGTCCAGCAGAAGTTAGGCTGTTTTTTTCAGCACTTATAGTTTATGCAAATTATCCATGTGGTTTTAAGTTTTGTTTCTGTAAAACATAAACAAATGTGCGCAAAGCTGCATTAAACGCATTATTACTCAATGTATATTTGAGTCCTTCACATAGGAAATAAAAAAAAACTAACTTAAATGATCCACCCACATTCATAAACAGGGGTGTGCAAAATATCGGACGATATATCAATTTAATGTGAGAATACAGATCAACGGGCTACGTATCGATATACACCAAGCTATTTTTAGGTGTGTTTTACTATTATTTTAATTACAGAGCTACGTTTGTTGCTTGTGGATGAAAGGAAGCTCATTTATGCAACACATTTGATATTTTATTGTTTTGATTAAATGTTTGTGTTTCACTTTAACTTGCAAAGCTCACAGGATTTAGCATTGAACCGATCATATCGTGCACTGTCTGTGTTTCCTTTAAGGTCGGGATGTTCAGTCTCAAGTGTCGTCCGTTTGTTTCTCTTAAGCCGGGCGAACACTGTGCGATTTTTGACCCTTTTTGAGCTGATTTTTCACTCGTGCGACTATTTTGGGGAATCGGGCCGAGTTTTGACTTCATCGTGTGTCGTGCTTCGTGTAGTAAACATGTGGTAAAGAGAACCGATTAATACCTCACGATCAACTCCCGCTCGGCATTCGTAAGGTTGCAGGAATATCAAACCTGTTTGAATTCCAGTCGCCTCTCGTGAGGGTTTCGCTCTGTTGAAGTTGTTCCATGAGCCGATGGGCCAGATTCTGTCAGACTGAGCATGTGCGGACACAGAAGCAGAAACAGGATATGAGGTTGTGGAGGACGATGGCGCCGGCGAATGTTGTGGACACAGGACATGGAGGCGCAGCTAATCCAGCAACACAGAACAGAAGTTTGGTGAAAAACTTGATGCTACTTATCACCAGTTCCTTCTGAAGAACTTTTTGGTTCTTTTTGGTTTTGTCTGCGCAGAGAATGGCACAAATTGTCAAGGCAGCGCATCTGTTCTTTGCCTGGATCAGCACTGTGTCTGTGGTTTTCTAATTCTGTGGTTTTCTATTTCTTGAACAACAACTCCGGTCGTTATGTGAACGTACAGTGTGCGCAGGCAGGTTGCATCCAAGCATTGGTTCGTACAGTGTGGGAACATGATTTGTGAGCTGTGAAGTTTTAAACCCTGCAATTTGGTCGCACAGTTTAAGATGGGGCTGAGTGACACGACTGAAAATATCACAGTGTACGCCCAGCATTAATGCTCCTTATAATCCGGTGCACCTTATAGTCAGAAAAATACGGTAATCATAAAATGCACTTGGCCGAACAGCCTCCCTTCTACTTTCTGTTTGAATTCAGAAGGGTTTGAAACTGGACAATAGATGAGGAAAATCCTAATTAAATCCTAAATTAAGACATTTAAGATCATTTGTATCATGCGTCTCTCAATTGTGGAAGACGTCTCCTCTCCAAAATTCTCAAAACATTCAAAACAAAATATATAACTTCTTTTACCTGAGAAGAGTTTCATGTTTTGATTCTGCAAAAATCTGTGTTGTTTCTCAGTCCTTTATGACACGGATCATTCATCTCTCTGATTTGTGAATCCATCTAAATCAGTGACACAGATCCATGTTTGTTTTTGTGAAGTTTTGTCAAAGTGCCTGGTTCTGAATGGACGGGTAATAAAATACATGCTCACCTCTCCACAGATCTGACTAGTAACTTGCCGCGGTGGCTCTACCTAGTCCTGGTTTAGTTCCAAGTTACTCCCAGTTTTGCTATGAGACTTGCACTTGAATATAACAATTATTTTTTTGTGCTCACCATTGGAAAATACTGTATTTTCTTGTATATAAATGAAACATTGTTGTGCTGTTTGTGTGTAGAATCCTCCGTCGTCCAGGTAAAATCCACTGCAAAGGAAAAATTCAATTTGTCACTTTGACAAACGTTTATTTTCACAGCTCATCCAAGCTGCTTCTACAGCAGCTGGAAAACTGAAGAAGCAGCTTGGATGAGCCGCGAAAAGTTTTCAACCTAAATAAACGTTTGTCAAGTTGACAAATTGAGTTTTTCCTTAGATTTCATGTGACCTGATTTCTATTTCAATTTTCACTCTAAGTCCTGCATTGTCAACGTTAAGCTGCAGTGTGTAACTTTTTTGTTCATACCTCAGTTTCCATTTAAACCCATCCATCTTACATTTATTAAATGACGATGTTCTTAACCCTTCCAGACCGACAGTATCGTAGACAATACCTGGGATTGGGAATATGTTTTATATAACTGCACTTTTCAACCATAAAAGATAGATGTTTTTTCCTCATGAAAAGATGAGAGTTGCATCTTTCCGAGCATATTTCCATCATTATCCTACGTCACACACTGCGTAATGACGTAGGGAAAACGATTGTCCAGTAGGAACTTTGTTTTCCACCAAACTCATGCGCTCTGTCCGTTTTGATCGGCCCAAACTTTGCCAAAGAGTGTAGTGAGTCAAGATGATCGACTGCTCTGAGCGTCTGTGTTTGTAACAATTGAAAAAGCCGCTCTAAGTGCAGTTATTTCTCAAATAAACGGCAAATTACACATCTTGGTTTATGTAATTACACATCCCTTGTGATTTTTTTTTTTCAGGTTTATCAAAATGTCCAAATCCAAATGTAATAAACACCACAGAAATGCAGGAGATGATGTGGCTCTGTGCCTGGACCTGACAAAAGCTGTTTCAATTTTTTTGTTGTTTTTTTTTTTTTTGTTTTTGTTTTGAGGGCAATTAGGATATTTTTAGTTTACTTACACGCTTGATATTTTGCACTTTTGTA